GTGGAATCTCTTTTCCTGTAGTTTCAACTCATTGCTCCTTGTCCTAGTGTCTGGAGTGGTGGAAAACAAACCTGTCCCTTCCTCGACATGACATCCCTTGAAATATTTAAACATGGCTATCATGTCCCCTCTTAACCTTATTTTTGTAAGGCTAAACATTCTCAGCTCCCTCATAGGACATGGCTTCCAGACCTTTGACCATTTTGGTCACCCTCCTCTGGACACATTTCAGGTTGTCAACATGCTTCTTGAATTGAGGTGCCCAGAACTGGACACAATACTCCAGGTGACGTCTGTCTGACCAAAGCAGAATAGAGTGGTACTATCGCTTCCCGTGATCTAGACACTATACTCCTATTCATGCAACCAAGAATCACATTGGCTTTCTTCGCAGCAGCATCACACTGCTGACTCATGTTCTGTTTGTGGTCTACCAAGACTCCTAGATCCCTTTCGCAGGTACCGTTGTCTAGCCAGGTGTCTTCCATCCTATATCTGTTCAGTTCATTTTTTCTGCCTAGGTGTTGTTGTTGTTGTTGTTTAGTCGTTTAGTCGTGTCCGACTCTTTGTGACCCATGGACCAGAGCATGCCATGCCCTCCTGTCTTCCACTGCCTCCCGGAGCTGGGCCAAATTCATGTTGGTCGCTTCGATGACACTGTCCAACCATCTCATCCTCTGTCGTCCCCTTCTCCTCTTGCCTTCACACTTTCCTAACATCAGGGTCTTTTCCAGGGAGTCTTCTCTTCTCATGAGATGGCCAAAGTATTGGAGCCTCAGCTTCAGGATCTGTCCTTCCAGTGAGCACTCAGGGTTGATTTCCTTTAAAATGGATAGTTTTGTTCTCTTTGCAGTCCAGCGGACTCTCAAGAGTCTCCTCCAGCACCACAATTCTCTCAAGAGTCTGCTCCAGCACCACAATTCTTCGACGGTCAGCTTTCTTTATGGTCCAGCTCTCACTTCCATACATCAGTACAGGAAAAACCATAGCTTTGACTATTCTGACTTTTGTTGGCAAGGTGATGTCTCTGCTAGGTGTAGGACCTTACATTTCTCCCTGTTGAAATTCATTTTGTTAGTTTTGGCCCAGGATTCCAAGGCATATTTACCATTTGTGAATTATATGCTGGATTTTAAATATTTCACCTATAAATTGCTCTTCACTGTATTCCTAAAGCAAGCAGCCACACCTAAAAGTATTCCCATGTACTCTCATCCCAGTCCATTACACCTCCTGAAATCATCTGCACAGATATCTTGGTACTTGTGCTACTGAACTGCCTTTCATTGGGGACAGTTACCACCTCATTTGGGGGTGGGGGTGGGTTGGATGGGTGAGTCAGGGAGCAGTTTCAGAAGGTCCAGAGGACAGTTTTCTGATCCCAGGATCCACCGGAGATTCACAGTGGACCACCTCTGGATATGAACAAAAAAACCCTGAAAAATCCATTCTGAATATAATTGGAATTCCACTTTCAATTGTGTTGCTTTGCTTTTTTGTGTGTGCAGATGTGCATGGCTTTTGATTTGGGGAAGACTGAGGGAGCTCTGCACCCATTTTTATTGCAGAAGCACCACAGTGGAGATTCTGTTAAGTAGAAAAATGGCCTTTCGGAAGGGACAGATTTTTTCCCCAAGAAAAGTGGTATCCTTGGGTCAAAAAATGGCTGGAGGGGAGCTGTATGTAGCCTTGTGGGTGCATTTTACCCATCTCAACCCAAATGGTTATCTGCCTGGCATGGAAATTGAAAGATAAAGCTTGCTACAAACATCACCTTCATGCTAGTTCCAGTTAGTCCATCACCCCATACGAGGTTAATATCTAGGACTGGGGAGCTGAGGAGAAACAGATGGAGGGTTGCCGTCTCTATTTGCCAGCATCTGCCACCTGATTCAGTTACCTCAATCTGCTGAATGAAAGAGCCAGACTTGCCACTTTGTGGTTAACATGTAGCGTAGCTGCGATACAACTGTTCAATGAATTGGCCTTCTCATTTGAGCTAGTCCAGTCATTACACAGAGAGAGGTAGCTGCTGGAGGTGGTGACAAGATGTTAGTACAGCTTCTTCTAACCTTGGGTAACCCAGGTGTTCTTGTACTGCAACTCCCAGAAGCTTTCACCACTAGCTGTTTCTGGGAGTTGCAGTTGAAGAACACTTGGGTTAATCAAGGTTGGGAAGAAATGTGTTAGTAAGTGGAGTTGTCTGTGCCACATTCTCCCCTCCCTGTGCACTAGTGTGGTGGAGGACGGTGTCTCATCACTGGGGCTAAATCAAAGCTTAGCTCTAATACTGGTTGCTTTTTATGTAAAGGAGGGGCATCTTGTCTGTTGCCCTAGGCAGCAAAATATCTGGAGTTAACCCAGATCCTCAGCAATCTTAGGTCATGACAACATTCCGACATTAACAACTTGGGGACTCTTGGTTAGGCTGATCGAAGAGACGAGGGGTTATTGGTGCCCATATTTTGCAAAACAAAGTTGTAATAAGTATATTCACTCTGTTGCATCTGTAGCATGCAACCACCCTACAGGATCAATCCCCAAGTCCTTGTAAGCAGGAAAGGTTCACAAAGAACATATGCAACAAGGTAAATCATTCCCAGGGAGTGCAGTTCTATTAGAAATATCTTAGCCTCTCACATCTGCTTATTCAGATAACAAATAACTCTTCCTAGAAGTGAAAGAGAGAGTGTGTGTGAGCTGGAGATTGAATGTATATATTACAGTTGAAATAAATATGAAAAGGCTGCTGCATGCGCCTGTATAAATCTCAGTGATCTTGTATGTTTTCATCACACGACTTGCCAGTGAAGAAGATGTGAGGAAATGAGAAACTGTTGTTACCCATATAATCAGGGAAGCAGGGGAGCAGATAGATTTCTGAAGTTATTTAAAGAGACATGAGTTTAAAAAGTGAAAAGAAGGGGGGGGGGAATCTCCCAAATATAGTACACACTACCACTGCCAGGGCTTGCAGGAAATTCATGGAAACAGGAGTAAAAGGAGTACAGCTAGACTGAGCAGCCCAAACAATGGATTCAAATTATCCAAACCAACAGATTCAAATCACAAGAAATGAGTTTTTCACTAAACTCTAGAAAGGATTTCCTGGCAATAAGATCTGATCAATAGTGGAATGGACTAATGCCTCTGAGGATGATGGGCTCTCCTTTGCTTGGGGGTTTTAATCAGAAATTGAATGGTTATCAGGGATGCTTTAGCTGTGGTTTCCTGCCTTGGTGGTTTTAATCAGAAATTGAATGGTTATCAGTCAGGGATGCTTTAGCTGTGGTTTCCTGTCTTGGCAGAGGATGGGATTAGGCAGGTCTCTTGCAAATGTATAATTCTCCTACATTATGATGGTGTGAATCCAAGGAGTTGGGTTCTTATCACTTGAATTTCAAAAGAGGGTCCAGGGTTTTCTTAGTGACTGCCAGGGAGATTTTGCCCTTTACCATGGGCATGGCCAGTCATATCACACACATTTCTCAGAAGGCAGAGAGGTGAGAATCAAAGCAGTTTGCCAAGAACATGGATACAAGGCAGGGATTGGGTGGTCTGTTACAGCAAAAGAACAGTCTACAAGTAACTTAAAATATTTTTTAAAAAACTAATAACATGAGCTCTTGTGACCTATAGTTCTTTCCAGAAGATCATCTGAAGAAGTGGCAGAAAGAAAGCAGACGCTCATACAATAATAAATTTATTAGCTGTGGAGTTTTCACAGCACTTCCATCTTTTAAAAAATGAGGAAGGCTAGCAAGCCTGGGAGACAGCTTGGTTCTTATGTTTGTTTGATGCTCGTTGCATAGACTGTAATAATGTTAAACTAAATAGTTCTATAAAATTCTGGCCTGCTAGAACTAGTGAGAGATGAGAAAGAGATCCACTGTTTTGTAGAGATTGTGATGTGTGCACTCTACAGAACTTAGTTTTCTAACAAACAAGTGGGTTAACTGACTTTTGCTGTTGTCCTAACCAACTATCTTACTATAGTAAACTAGATTCTCCTGTCACTACTTTGATAGCCAGGCAGCTGAAACTGGGCAGACACAGCTCAGTTTTCATCTTCTTGGCTAGTTTCCAGAATGGGAACATGTAGAGACAATAATAATCAGTGAACAATTAGGTAGAATAACTTTTGGTTTTCACATAGTTGTGGGGCACACAGAAGTGCTCACAAGATGCAGCATGGTTGCATTTGTAGTGTAACACACCCTTGCATGTACTGTGAGCATGCATGACTATGGATTGTGCCACCTGTTAGGGTCTTCCTTTTAAGAAGAGGTAACTGTATGTAGATAAAGCCAGTGCTGGGTTGCAGGTTGCAGGTTGTATTGTTTCCATCTGTGTATGTTGGTCTCCCTGATGCCAAATTAGATATGAGGCCTGTTCCGTTCTGGTGAGCTGACAATGTGCTGTCTTGTCCCAGAGTACAATCTTCCTTAATCAGTGATGGGCCGCCAGGGAGGATTAGCATTCCCTTCGGCTGCATCAGAGAGGCCTGGATTTTCAGTTTCCTTCTCTAGTGAAGCTCTGTTAAAACATAGGAAGGAACCTTATATTAAGTCAAATTTCTGACCCCTCTAACTCTGAGTGGGAAAAATGGAAGCCCACAGGGGCCACAAGGTAGCCAACAACTCCCCTGGCTGCTCCAGCCCTTCCAAAAATGTTTACAGGTTTTTGTTGTTGCTGCTGGTGCCTTTTGAAAATATAGATTTGCTTGGAAGGCCCAGGGATGGGTGAACACGGACCACCCACCTTCTGGCAGCTGCTCACCCTGGGTCTAACTCAATGTTTGTCACTCTAATTGTCAGTGACACTCTAGAATTTCAAGCAGGCATCATTCCTAGACCTACCTGGAAGCCTCTGGTATGCCCTGGTGGTCTAACCAGGCCCAATCCTGTTTAGCTTCCAAAGTCAGATGAGATTTGATACGTTCAGGATCATGTGGCTGTGCTGCTAAGTGTTCTTATTGTTTACCCAATATCTTCCTACAGGAAAAGAATTGGAGGTAGGAACGTGTGAAATCACAGCCCTGGACAGAGATATGAGCCAGCCCAAGAGGACGATTGCCAGGCAGACTGCTCGGTGTGCCTGTAGGAGGGGCCAAGTCGCTGGGACCACAAAAGCAAAGCCTGCCTGTGTGGATGGTAAGAGAGGAGGGCTGCTTTCTCTTTCCGTCACCTGTCCCAACGATTCATGTGTCAGGCCCTACGCAGAACGGAAAACCTTAACTGTGCTGGAAGATACTGAGGCTTCCTGTATTTGCACTGATGCACATGTCACCACCTCAGTGAACCTCCCAGTAGTAGAAGAGACTGGTAAAGGTAAAGGTAAAGGTTCCCCTTGACAATTTTTGTCCAGTCGTGTTCGACTCTAGGGGGCGGTGCTCATCCCCGTTTCCAAGCCATAGAGCCAGCGTTTTTGTCCGAAGACAATCTTCCGTGGTCACATGGCCAGTGCGACTTAGACACGGAACGCTGTTACCTTCCCACCGAGGTGGTCCCTATTTATCTACTCGCATTTGCATGCTTTCGAACCGCTAGGTTGGCGGGAGCTGGGACAAGCGACGGGCGCTCACTCTGTCGCGTGGATTCGATCTTACGACTGCTGGTCTTCTGACCCTGCAGCACAGGCTTCTGCGGTTTAGCCCACAGCGCCACCACGTCCCTTGAGAAGAGACTGGAGATTTTTCTTTTCTCCAGGCTCTGCCAAGGGAGTGAAAACAGGGGGGGTTCACATTTGCAAAGGTAGACCAGAGTTTTGAGTTTCTCCAAACACAGCCCAGATCAGAGAAAGGCCAATAGTTTGTCTAGTAATTCTGATTCTTTAGCATAGCTCAGAAATAAGATGGGCCATTTTGTGATGAACAGATCCCAAGGGGTCAGACAAGCTTGCAGAAACCCAGGAATTTCTTCCCGATGACCAAGCATAAGAGATCCACTCTTGTCCTTTAGAGCAAAACTGGAGAAAGTATTTTGTGGAGAGAGGGGTATTGGCCATACTATCTGAGCAATCTGGGAGTCATAGTTGGGGGGAAGGTAGCTTCTCTACACTCTTGTTTTGAGGAGCAGCCACATTAAGAGAAATAGAATGGAAAATATTCTGGGTGGTTCTCTTGGACCTACTGGCCTTGCAGAAAGCTTTCCTGAGGCTTTGGTGTGTGGGCATGTGGTGTCTTGTGTTGCTATGTGCTGTGCTTGTGCAGCAATAGCATGCTACCTAATGTTGCTATGGGGGGATGTGTCCCTTAGCTGTGGGTGGGTGTTTGGTACGTGTGGTGACTATGAGGCTATTCTGAGCCTGCAGGTGGTTGTTAACTCATAATTGGAGGTGTTATAATGAGAGTATCAAGCAGAATAACTTTTATTCTCTCTCCTTTCTTGCTCCCACATTTCTCTTGTACTTCGTCCCTGCTTCCACTCCTCTTTTCTTTTTCATTGCCTTTCACTTCTCTTGACCTTCCTTTCTGCAACCAAGGAGATTCCTTGATGATAGAGAAAACATAAATCTGTGAATACTTACTTGAAATAAGTCCCATTTTGCAGTAGGCTCTACTCTTTTGTAATTGTGCATAGAATTGTTGCCCTAATCTTATATTCAACCAAGTCCCACATTGTTATTTCTATGCAAAGGAGAAGAATGGGCAGACCTTACAGAAGGGAGGCAGTAGCAATTGGGAGGTTGGCATGTCAACAAACACACAACCTTATTGAGCTGGAGGGAGTGAACACCTGGAAAATGCCTGTATCACCCTTCACCAACCTGGCTTCCTCCAGATGTGTTGGCCCACAGTTTCCATCAGTCTCAACCAATACATCTGGAGAGAGCCCAGCTGCCCTGTGTGTTAGTAATCAGTCTTTCTGGATGTGTGACTAATGCATGTCCCTTCTCTCTCTTCCCCTTTCCCCTTTCTCTACCTCTGTGGCCGCATCCCTCTGGCAGCCCAGATCATTATCAACAAACAGTGGTGTGGCATGGAGCCCTGTGATGATGGGGAACAGTGCATGTTGTTAATAAATCGGTCAGGGTGGAGCTGCACTAAGCAACTGGGACGAATAAAAACTGTCACGGTAAGTAAGCTGCTCCCTTTTCTGACTTGCACTTGGCCACATATTGGAATGGCTGCTGCTATGTAATAAATCCCTCAGAAAAATAATCCCATTCTGGGTAATGCAGTACGTTGTATCGTTTCCCACCTTCCTCTCTCACCATTTTGAAAGGTGTATAGCTGAAAGTTGTGTTTAATCTGGCAGGTAATTTCAGATCTAATATTGAGATTTCTGCCATAATAATGTCTCTGTGCCATGAAATCGTTGACATCGCACATCACACTTCCACAAGAAGGCTGTGCTACAAATGGTCAGATATTTTGGGAGGGGGGATCACTTTCAGTGCTACAGTTCCATTGCCATCCTGGCTGAGGGATTCAGGGACATCTCATCCAAAAAATTACTTCCCAACCTTTGCTTGTGGCATAATGAATTTGGAAGCTCCTGTAGTTTGTCTGGTGTTGTATACTCTATTTTGCTGTGCTCTGACAAGTAGAATAGCTGCCCAGGTATTCCTTCTTGAATTCATTTTGAGAGGGGAGCAGAGTTTGTCTGTTGCAGCAAAAACAGTTTCCCGTGGAAACTGAATTACATGTAAGATAATCACTGAAGGATGCTACTGGGCTTGTTCTTGAAATCAATTCAAAGTAGACATTATATCATGTTCTCCTTGTAGGCACAGCAATGCTCTAGCTATACACTGTAAATCTCCCATATTTACAGTGTATAGCTTCAGTATACATGAAATCTGTTTCAGTATATATGAAATCTGCTTCAAGATACACGAAATCTGGCTAGGGATACATGCCCATAAAGCAAGTACGGGGCATACAAACAAGTCACTTCCACTCCTTGTAGAAGGAATCCACTAACGTTCTGCAAAGGGTTTATTTACGGTGACAATCTGAACCTGGCAAGGCCTGGCACTCAGTCTTTTCAGAAGAGAAGTCAATCTAGAATGCCAGTTCTTGCTGGGTTCAGATGTCATGATAAATAAACCATGGACAGAAGGCTCATGGCTTGTTTAATTACTCCAGCTTGCAGTCAAGAAAGAATTGGGCAGCAGGCATCAGCATATAGCACAGGAACACTGGCTTATTGTGACATCCAAACTGTGTGTGCGTGTTGCTATTGTTTTTCAGACTTAGACCCTTTCTCCTTGTCATCTGGTGGGAAGATTCTTTTTCAGTCTATTTAGTTTAAAAAAGAGGCATTTCCCAGACGTCTTGTCCTTGTAGCCTGGAAATGAGTGATTCACAGGTCAGGGAAGGACAGCTATGACATGCCTGGAGGGCATTCATCAGCCAGATTTTCTGTATTTGGAAGCGACTCCAATACAGGAAGTTTACAGTGCAATCTTCAGACAGTAATTCTATTGAATTCAGTGGGGCTTACTCTGAGGTAAGTATGGAGAGCAGGTGATAGGTCAAGATCTGTCATTAGATCTCTTAGAAATTTATGGTAAATCACAAAGTTTTTGATGCCCAGTTGTGCAAAAATAGCAGCAGCCAGGAAGACCCTGGGAACTCACAGTATATAAGTGACTGACAAAGCATTTTGGGACAGGAAAGTCTAGAAGTAGACTTTTGTGTCAAAATACTTGGTATCTTGGCTCTGATACTTGACACAAATTCCTAAGTGTAGCACATGCACAGAGGCACCCTGTTCCTTAATTCTTAGTGTATATTCAATTGCATTTTCTGCCTGGCTCTGGTTGGCTCACATAAAAAAGAAAGGAGATCCACAAGTCTGTTGATTCCCGGTGTAGAGGATTGCAGCTCTGGGTTCCATGGTTCATCAAGCTATAAACTGAGAGTGGGAGACCTCTGGGCGGTAAAGCCACATGTGGCCCTTGGAGAATCAAAATCCAGCCCACTGAGAGCTCTAGGTGTCACCTGCCTCCAGACTCAGATACTGCCATGATTGCTTGTTAGGATAGAAGATAATTGGAAAAAATTGTCCCATCTACCCATGACAAACCAATATTAGTGAACAGTCCTGATGGAAGCTGATGAGCAAGGCCTTGCTTTTCCCACTGCCCTGCGAGATGGTTTCAGTCCCTTTGGAAAGAATAGATGTATGCATGTCTATGTTTGTACTCGTGAGCTGAGAACAATGCTTGCAGAAAGTAGGTTTAGAAAGGAACATGTCTGGAAAAGATCAGATTGTATCTAGCTTGCAGAGCGCTTGGGATTCACTCTGTATGCCATCACAATTGGGGAGGGGAGGCAGGCAGTGTTGAGAAGGAAAGACAGCCAGCAGCTGTGCTGAGCTCCGGCAGAAATTGTAGTGCAGTTACGTCTTCCAGCTTATCCTTTGAGTGCAAGGGAGGTATTGCCGTGCCCTCACTGCCTGCAGGGAAAATCAGCTTTGCTAATAGAGTTTGCACACAGGGCCATGCACGCAGGCTTTGCTGGCTATTAATATAACTCGCTTGCGGGGACCCACACCAGGTGATTTGTTTTGTGGAGTTCACCGCAGGCACCTCTCTGGGATCACACTCTCCAAGGCCCTGTTAAAATGACTGCCAGCCAGACAGGTAGAGATGGATTTGGAGAGAGTCTTAAGCAAAGCTCTCCTGTGTACAGCAAAGGAATAAAGCCTGCAAAAAAGAGCCCGCCGAGGCTGCTCCCAGACCTGCCTTTTCAGCACCAGATGACAAGAGCAATGTTAAATGGCAGGATTACTGCCTTTGCTGTGCTGTGGGCAACACTGGGTATGCTGTGGGAGAGCTTTAGCATAAATAAATGTGTATCAGGCGCAATACCGGTCATCTTCAGTGTAAAACCTGGCAGCATCTGGGACAGGTCCTGCTTCTCCTTTATTTTCATTTTTATTCATAAATAAATGTGTATCAGGCGCAATACCAGTCATCTTCAGTGTAAGACCTGGCCGCATCTGGGACAGGTCCGGCTTCTCCTTTATTTTTATTTTTTGCTAAGGAAAGCTGAAGCAGGGAGCAGGTGGTTCTCCAGATCTTGTTTTCATCTAACTTTCAGTCTAACTTTTCAGGTTTATTGTCAGCAAGGGGAGAGAATCAATGTATGCTCTTGAAAAGGATGGCATCACCACTGCCATCATCATCCCACCTTCAACTTGGAAGGGGAATCCTGTGGCTCTCCAGATATTGCTGGATGGCCATTCCCGTGATTTCTTACCAACGACTGTGCTGGCTAGGACCAAGGAGAGTTGCAGTCCAACAATATCTTGGGAGTAAATGGGGACATACTGTATACCCTAGCCCAGTGCTAAGCACCCTTTTGTTTTCTGATTCAGCAAGATCTAAGCCTGCTTTCAAGGGCTCTCGGATATTGTATTGAATTTATATCCCGCCTATCTAGTCAGTTATGACCACTCTAGGTGTTTTCTGATTCAGCAAGTTCTAAGCCTGCTTTCAAGGGCTGTCAGGTGCCACCTTCTCTGCTGTTCTGCTAGTCCCTCCCTCCCACTAACCTCCTTTCCTACCTGCTGCTGTCACAGATGAGGGAGGAAGGCAAAAGGAAGAACTGGTCAAGGAGTGGGATGGGAATGGCCTATCTAGTCAGTTATGACCACTCTAGGTGTTTTCTGATTCAGCAAGTTCTAAGCCTGCTTTCAAGGGCTGTCAGGTGCCACCTTCTCTGCTGTTCTGCTAGTCCCTCCCTCCCACTAACCTCCTTTCCTACCTGCTGCTGTCACAGATGAGGGAGGAAGGCAAAAGGAAGAACTGGTCAAGGAGTGGGATGGGAATGGCCACATCCCTGCTTTCAGCCTAAGACCACTGAAAATAAAGGCGGAGAGGTGTCATTTCAAATACTGTTCGATTACCACTTCTGTCAGCTCTAACCATCAAATTTTGGATGGAAATGTAGCATTCAGCCCTGCCCTCACCTATCCGTCACAGCTGGGCAGTGGAACATCAGCTAATGAGGGGATGGAAGGTGGTGCAGAAGGGGGAGGAGCTGGAATATATAAGGGGGTGTATGATGTAAGAGAGGAGATCAGTGAGAGATTTTGTGAGAGTTAGTGATGAGAGTGTCTATGGGCCTGTGAGCCAAACAGTCAGTGAGGGAAGAGTCTCTGTGTGTCAGTGAGTGAGAGACCTTGATTAACATTTTGTGATTTACTTACTTTATTTTGTTAAACCAATAAACAAGTTTAAGTTTGAAGAAACACATGATCCAGTGATTCATTGGTATTGAAACAGCAATACCTGGTGGCAGCTACCTGAGAAGAAGAGTGAGCACTCCTGGAGGCCTGAGTGGGTAGAGGCTTCAGTGTGCTCGCTACAGGAAAATATTCCCATTACTGGATTAAGGTGAGATAAGGAGGAGCTGGTGGAAAACGAGATTACCTCAAGGAGCTCACCAGAGCCTCTCTCCTCTCCCGTTTTGCCTTCATATTGACCTTGTGACAGGGGGAGGGGGAGGCTCAAAGAGACCACGTGGCCCAAAGTTCACCATAAATGATCTGGATTAGAAAATACTGATGATCTTGAGGAGTTTGCATGGATGTTCATTCCAAAACTTATGGGGATATTTTTTGGCATGTGTGTTGTGAAAAGCCAGTTTGCTGTCTGTGGGCAGGGTCAAAGGTGGAAAGCAAAAAGTAAGGAACAGAAAAAAAAGTAAATGAAAATGTGGCAGAGCCAGAGAGAGGGGGAGAGAGACAGAGAGAGAGAGAAGGGAACAGAGAAAGAGGAGTGGATGGGAGGAGGAGGACAGGGAAGAAAAGGGGCACATAGATTGGGAGTAGAGATGGGCACAAATCTCGTTTAGGAGGTTTGTGCCGGTTTGTATGCACGGCACCACAGGTGTCATGCATTCCCTTTCCCCACCTCCCTGGTCAGTGACCCACTCACCAGCTAGCATGCTCTCCTCTCCTCCTTCTCTTTGGCTGTTCGACCAGTCCCCAGAAGGAGCACCGGTTTTCCTGCCCTGTCCCCTTTCGGACGATCAGCCAAGGAGGTGGGGCAGGAAAGCCCCTGCCACTGCCAGAGACTGGCTCAACAGCCAAAGAGGAGGAGGAGAGGAGCACGCGCC